TGGAGGCACTCACTCATCTATGCCAAGAAATTTGGAAGACAGCTACCTGGCTAACTGAAAGAGATCTGTATCTGTGCCCATTCCAGAAAGAAGTGACCCAAATGAATGTGGAAATCATTGGATAATATCATTAATATCACATAAAAGTAAAATTTTGCTAAACATAATTTTTAAATGGCTGCAACAGTACATTGACAATGAACTGCCAGAGGTTCAAGCTAAATTCAGAGGAGGATACACAACTAGAGATGTCATTGTTGGCATCAGATGGATCTTGGCTGAAAGCAGAGAATATTCCAAAGATGTCTACCTGTGCTTTATTGACTAGGCAAAGGCTTTTGACTGTGTGGGTCATGACAAGCTATGGACAACATTGCAAAGAATAAGTGTTCCGAAACACTTGTGTTCATGAGGAATCTGTAAAATGAACCAAAGTTGTATTGTTTCACCATACTTATTCAATCTGTACTAAGCAAATAATCCAAAAAGCTGGATTATATGAAAAGCGTGGTATCAGGAGTGGAGGAAGATATTCAGATGAATATCTTGCTTGCTGAAAGCAAAGAGGACTTAAAATACTTACTGATGAACATCAAAGACCACAGTTTTCAGTATGGCTTGCACCTCAATGTAAAGAAAACAAAACCCTTACTGCTGGACCAACAAATAACATAATGAAAAATGGAGAAAAACAGGAAGCAAGTGTAAATTGCTACAATCTGATGAACTTGACCTTTGCTTATGGAAGTAGTTGCTCAAAATACCAATCACGAAGAAAGGAGTCTTTACATCAAGGATCAAGCCTATCCCTTTAGTACACAGGGTTGATAGGGATGGGCAACTTAGACATTGGCTACCTAAAATGGGGGGAGGGGTTATAAAGGCATAAGGAGGGGTTATAAAGGTATAAGATGTAAAGCTGTGGGTTAATGCACTGGACTGCAAAGTCGATTTGAACTTCAAGGTCAGCAGTTCAAGCTCACCAGCTGCTCCTTGGAAACCCTATACAAGGTCTCTATGGGTTGGAACTGACTTGATGGCACTTAACAACAGCATAAAGACAGGAAGTGGCAGCTTACAAGTTTTCAAGAAGGACTTGAGTTTCAGAGTGAGAGGTGGAGGTAAAATCCCCACTGAATAGTTTTCATTTTGTCTAGAAGGGTCTGGTGAAAGGAAATGGGGATAGGATTCTTTTGATTCAATATTAATTGTTATCATGACTATTTGTGATTTTCACAACTGTAAAGGTAGATGATATATAACAAAAAGGGGGGAACAGTTAATTTTGCATGCCAGGAACAGAGGACCCTAGGACCATCAAGGGAGAAGAGCATGAATGGAATGTGGCATTCTAACCAGAGAAGCAGCTACACTAGAGATGGAGGCAGATGTGATGGTATGGAGAGACAGAGCAGCTGAGGACTCTAGATTAATGGAAAGAGAAAGGCTGTGTGCTGGCTGCCAGGAGACTGGCTTCTAGAATATGCTCTTTGGCTGTTTAAATTTACTATATATTCCTGCATGTTTTTATGTATATATATATAAAAAAAAGTGGGAATAGAGGCAAATACTGTTAACTGAAAGTGCATGGAGGGGATTGTAATAATTTCAATGAAACAAAATGCAATTGGTTGAGTGCAAAACTGATGTTCTTCCATGCAAACTATGACTTAATGCACAATAAAAGCTTTAAAAAAAAAAATGGAGAAAAGATTGAAGTTGTCAAATATTCCATTTTGCTTGGATCCACTATCAACACTCATGAAATCAGCAACCAAGAAATCAAATGATGTATTGCTCTAGGCAAATCTGCTGTACAAGTCCTATTTCAAGTGTTCAAGAGCAAAGATGTGAGTTTGAAGACTAAGGTGCACCTGATCCAAGTCACGGTGTTTTCAATACCCTCATATGCATGTGAAAGTTGGACAATGATTAAGGAAGACTGAAGAACTGATGCTTTTGAGTTATGGTCTTGAAAAGCACTGTGGACCGCAAGAAGAACAAACAAATCTGTGTTGGAAGAATAACAGCCAGAATGTTCTTAGAAGCCAGGATAGTGAGTCTTTGTGTCTTATATTTTGGACATATTATCAGGAGGGACCAGTTCCTGGAGAAGGAAATCATAGTAAAGTGGAGGGTCAGTGAAAAAGAGGAATACTCTCAACTAGCTGACTTGGCACAGTGGCAGCATCAATGGGCTCAAACTTAACCAACAATGACTGTGAGGTTGGTGTGGGACTGGGCAGTATTTCATTCTGTTATGTATAAGATTACTGTGAGTCAAAATCAACTCGATGGCACCTAACAACAACAGATGGATCACGGTGGTCCCATCTGCAACCAATCATGGGGATGGCAAAGTCTTGTTCTATTGTGCACTAGGTTGTCATGAGGTGGGGGCCAACTTGATGACAGCTAATAACCAACCACCTTTGTAATCCCAAATCCCCAAATATGGGTGCCTGGGTTCCGCACTGGGGGTAAAGATCCTCCCTCTTTTCCTTAGATTCTAGCCTTCATCATCCAGGTCATAATTGAGTCTCCCTTACTCATCTCCTGTAGCTAAAGCCACACTCTGAACGCGGGACTCTCCAACCATTTCAAGCCCTCTTTTGACTACATGCTTTGATATGCTTGTGAAGTCCCACTCCTGCTAAAAGGGAGCATTTTAGCAGCCTCAGGATAACAACTGCTGAGTAGAGATGCAATGAAAGGCAGGCCAAGGCAGGGCTTGTGGGCAGTGTGTGAAGAGTGCTAGGAATGACCTCCATGATTCTTACCCCCATAATCCACAGGCCACTCCCAAAGTGGCTGGTTACTGTACTTGAAATTCCACCATTGGAGCCATGCAAGCATCATTCTTTGGGTCAGCATACTGCTTTCTTCAGATAACTTTATTTTCAATGTTACGCTGGAAAGGTAACTCTTAAAGTGTTTTGACATGGGTATCTGGAGCCTGGGAGGTAGGAGTGAGGACAGGGGTTCGGTTAAGAGCCATAGGTCAAGAGAAGTCCAGAGGTAGTGGTCATGAGGTTGCAGAGGTTCCTTAGGACAATGCAGAGAAAGGTCAGAGCAGCAAAAGCAGAGTGCAGCATTCTGGGAGTTTGATCCAAGTAGGGCAGACAGCCACTCCCAGCCTGTACAGAGCCCAGGAGTAGTGGGACTGTGTGTCTGCCCTTCCCTCTCCCCCAATGATGGGAACCCATGAGTATACTCAATGCACTCCACTGCTTTCAGGTGTAAATGTAGCTCATGTGTGTGAGCTGGAGCATGGGGCAGGGAGCACCCAATCCCACTCTGTACAAATGTCCCCGTGGACATCCCTCCCTCCCCACCAATTCTCTAATGTACCCATGGTAAAGTAAGGGTCACATATAAAGGGCGGGGGGAGCAGCAGGGTCTGGGTCTACCTGGAGAAGTGTCCAGGCTCCAGTCCTTTTACACACATAACAATATATAAATGCCAGGCACTGGTTTAAGTTTTACAGATGCACTCATTTAATCTTCCCAACACAACAACTGATATACATATATATAGATATAGAAAGGGAGTCCTGGGTGGCACTGTAGGATAACCAAAAGGTCACTGGTTCAAAGTCACAAGTTGCTCCTTGGAAACCCTATGCTATGAGTTGGAATCAACTTGACAGCGCCTAACAACAACATATGTATATGTTGTTGTTGTTGTTAAATGCCATAGAGTCGGTTGCAACTCATAGTGACTTTGTATAGGGTTTCCTAGGAGCAACTGGTTAAGTTTGAACCACTGACCTTACATTTGAAGTCCAGGGCATTAACCCACAAAACACACCAGGACTCCATATATGGAGTCCTGGTGTGGCACTGTAGGATCAGCACTAGACTGCAAACCACAAGGTCAGCAGTTCAAACCCACCAGCTGCTCCTTGGAAACCCTATACAGGGTCTCTGTGAGTTGGAGCTGACTCAACGGCACTTAACAACACACACACACACACACACACACACACACACACTATTATTCTGCCCATTTTACAGGTGAGAAAACGGAGGCACAGAGAGGTTACTATCTTGCTCAAGACCACCAAGTTAGTGGGAAATGGAGCAGGATGAAGCATAGCTACCCTAAACTGTGGTATCATACCCTTTTCCATGGTGCCTCCTGGACCAAAGGCCCACAACTACAACTGCCTGGCAGGGAGAGGAGGCCACCCCCTATGCACCAGGTGTTTCAGTCTCAGAAGGGTCAAATGAAGGAAGAAGCACAAGAATCACTGTGCACATCAAGAAGCAAAACCAAAGAAGTCAGATAACCCGCCAGGACCACATAGCCCAGGAAGGGGCAGAATTGAAATCCAAACCTCTGCCCTGCCAGGTATCTCCTCCCCAACTCATGTAGGGAGCTGAAGAGAATAATGGTGGCCAGGAGAGTGAGGTAGGAGGAAGCGGGATCTGGGATCTGGAGACAGACTCCCTTTCTCAGGCCTGGCAGCTGCCTTCAGGCTCTGAACCTCCTGGTGGCCTGGTAGCAACCAGGAACTTCAGGGGATCTAAAGCAGCCCAGTTATTGGAGATGCGCCACTCTGGTCCTTCCACCACTCCAATGCATGGCCTCAGACTCCCTGTGGAGTCCCCATCCCCACACCTGCCCTTATATGGGACACAGGTAGGATGGGAATGCTGGATTTCCTGACCCATGAGTTGGACACACAGGGATGAAGGCTAGACAAGGCACTCACTCCAGAGAACACGGATCAGGCCTGATTGAAAGGTGGGCAGGTCTGGAGGGCAAGGGATAGCCAGGGTCTAGAAAGCCAAGAATGGTGTAAGACTCACAGAGAAGCAACTGGGATGAAAACACTGCATCCTGTCTGCCCACAGGGTCTTTCCTTTTCCTCAGAAGCCACCCGGGCTAGCCCTGAGAAAGGGACAAAAGGGTTGGGCAGCCCTGTTCCAGAGGTGGGGGGTCAGTATACTGCCGGGAAGGGAACAGATGCATGACGTGGCAGGACCGAGGACCTTCACTGGCGTAGGCGTCGCCGGTACAGCATGGTCAGGAGCGTGGCTAGGAGCAGCCCAGCCGTGGTGGCCCCAAGCCACAGAGCCCAGGAGCTGTCCCTGACCAAAGGCTTCTGTTCTGGAGGCTGAGGGGCAGCAAGCTGTTTGGAGTTGCTATCCTGGAGGTCGACACTGGGGGCTTCGGTCACGTGGATCTCAAAGGAGCCCGTGGACTGGGACTCATATTCATCTTCCTCCGGGATGTTGCTGGGCCCCCCATCCAGAGAGACACTGTGGCTGATGGCTAGGTCCTCAGAGGTGCCCGAGTACAGCTGGCTGTCTACCTGAGACACTAGCTCCTCTGGCTTGCTCAGCTCCAGCTCTGAGCTCAACCTGCTGCCTGGCCAGGGAGCACCGCCTCTGGGACCTGCAGGTGCTGGAATCTCTGGAATCTCCTGGGAAAGAGAGGAAGGTGCTGGAAGGGACTGGGAGCGACCAGATACAAGCATGTTGGGCAGCCCCACCCCTAGGCCAGGGCATGAACTAACATTGCAACTCCTCAGTCCTGGTTCAGTGCCCCTGGGACCACTAGTTCTTGGGAATCTTACCCATTGGTATTACAGGAAAGTTGGGGAAGATGGCCCTGTAGCAACCCTTGGTGGGGTGGCCCTGTCCTGAAGGCTGAGAGGCTTAGCTATTGGCCTCAGAGCCCTGTGGACTTGATTCCTCCAGGCAGATAATAGCAGTGGGGCTAGGGGCAAGATCTGGGAGGGGAGAGCGTCAGGGGCTAGATCCAGACTGCTGTCCATTAGGCGCTTCTCACGGAAGGGCAGCCTAGACATCCTGGTAGTGAAAAGCAATACATCAAGACAGGCAGACCACCCACTCTACCCTTTACCGGTTGTTCTTAAGTAAGCCTCACTCTTCATCTACTGAATGTGGTTGCGGAGCTTAACAGGGAGCTGTGAGTTCCAGTTACCCTGGAGGTGGCCACCCTTAGATCTAATGACTATTATTACTCCTTGGAGAACATGGGGCAAGGTCTACATGAGGTTCTCAGCTGTCCCTACATGCTCAAAGAGAAGCCTCAGACTAGCTCAAACTGGACACAGAATGGGGTTAGGGAAGGGATAAAGGACTGGGCCAGTAGGACAAGGTCTCCTAGAGGGAAGAGGACTGGATCACTGCTAAGAGGGGCAAGGACTCACCTCTGGTCTACTGATGCTTTTGCTGGTGGGCACTGTGCCAATACGCATTGAGTTGGTAGGCAATCTGGATGGAAGCATAGTAGAGGGCACTGTCTCAGGGGACTTCACACTAGTGGGCAACTTGGAGGGTGCTGTGCTGATGTGTGCTGAATTGGTAGGCACTTTAGAGGGCCCTGTGTTTGCAGACACCGTGGGCAACTTGGAGGCTCTTGTGCTGATGGGTGCTGAATTGGCAGGCACTTTCGAGGATCCTGTGTTTTCAGGCGCTGTGAACAACTTGGTAGGTACTGTGCTGATGGCTGTCAAGTTGGAAGGCACTTTGGAAGGCATTGGGTTTGCAGGCATCGTAGGCAACTTGCAGGATGCAGAGTTGGTGATCATAGAGTGGGAAGGTTCCTCTGTCTCACTGGAGCAGATGGTAACCGTGCTTTGGTCACCAGCCCCTTCTGCAGAAGGCAAGCTGGTGGATGTACAAGAGGAGGGGGTGCCAGTGGGTGAAGCTGACACTGGGGGTCCAAGCGAGCGGCTTGCCCTGGGGGTGGAGCGGGCTAGGGGTTGGAAAGAGACAGATGGAGACACAGGCCCACAGGGTGACGTAGGACTGGAGACCATGCCTATAGGAGGCAAAACAAAAATGGAAATAGAGACCCACAGGCAGGACTAGCACCCTAAAATCACATCACCCTGGGATCAGAGGACTGCAGAAGGGTCTCCCTGCCCCAGTTCATACCACCCCATTACATTCAGGCTTCAAGGTATCAGGCCTAGGGAGGAGACTCCACAGCCCTCTGGCGACCACTCCTAGGCCTACAGACACATCCTCAGCTTCCGTCTACCCTCACTCACTGACTTTTAGCCATGAAGCTGCGGTTCACCAGAGTGAAATGTCCCTCCTACTTCTCCCCCACTCCCATGACAGCCTCTAGGAGTGTGACAATCATCAGTAATTATGCTTCTGCTTTTTCTCTTGCCTCCGAGTTCCTCTTTTCCTTCTGTGTCTGCCTTTTCCATTGTTTCCGACCCCTGGTGGAATCCTGGAGGCTCCTCCCACTTGCCATCCTTTCTCCTCCCACCAACAATAGCAGGAGCAAGCCTGCATCTGGCAGGGGCCACAGGGGGCCACAGCAGAGCAGTTCACATCAGTCAGGGGGCACCAGAGAGTCAGATGGGCCCCCAATGTATACTGATCTCCTAGGAGGCCTAATAGTTTAGGGGAGGGGAGGGGCAGGGACTGGGCCACCTCTGGGAGGAAGGCCTGCCCTGGGGGAAATAGGCAATGACAATTCATAAAGATGGCAGTATTGGCACCACCACCATCCCTGGACTCTGAAAACACACATGCCAAGTCCTACAGTTGACAAAGGCCAGAGGAGATTCTGACATGACCCCTAAATCTAACATTACAAATCCTCATGGAGCCTGTGTCCAGGAACATATTAAACCTTATATGCCCTTTGTCTCCCTGGTCCTTAGCAGCACTTCCTGACAGTATTTTATGGTAATCAGCATTGCAGTATGCAAATGGATCCTTACAGAAAAACCTGTGAGGAGACAAAAGGGTGGGGCACTAAGATTGTGTCTCTGAGCTTTTCAGTACTTCTGTGTTCTGTGGCTGTCCCAGGGGCCCTGAGGGCTGGCTGGGTTCCAGTTTGGGAGAAGTGGTGCAGAGATACGCCAGCCTGGGGGTTAGGATGGATAACTGTATATTCCTGAGGAAGAGCATTGAGGTTGGGTCCAAGTCTCTGACTGATGAAGACCGTAAGGTGAAGTTAGACAAGCTGAGAAGCTGTGTGATTCGCTGGGAGCTAGATACCGCTTTAAGTATCTAAGGGTTCCTCTGTCACATCTGATCCTGCTTTGTTCTTCAGACCCTGACTGGTCTCCCCCACTGACCCTCCCTCACTATCCTCCAGGTCCTGGCAGGTCCCTTTTGTAGAGTGCTGAAATGGCCCTACTTTCCCCGGCCACATATGCATGCCCTTGAGACTGTCAGTGCTGCATCTACAGTCTGCTCTCCCCCTTGATTCCGGGCTGACCTTGACCCACAGAATGGGGCAGGCATACGTAACATTGGGTCCATTTTGAGCATGTGCCTCAGGAACCTTCCCTCTCTCCCTCTCAGGATTCTGCCTAGCTACTAGGAGATCGGCTTGGCTGCTGAAGGAAGAGAGACCACATGGAAGAGCCCCAGGTGCCCCAGCAATAGCCAGGAACAGAGCCACCCTAATAGACCACGACACAGAGGGAACCCAACCAAGACCGTAACTGCCCAGTTGAGTCAGTCCCAACTCCTGACCCATAAAACCAAGAGTATTTTAAGTGACCAGGTGTTGGGGTTGTTTGTTATATAGCAATGTCAATGCTACTTCTGCGGAATCAGGTTTCTTCCCGGTGTGAATTCTCTTTACCATTGCCTCTTGTCCAAAGAAAGGAGCTCTGGTAGCATAGTGGTTACGAATCAGGCTACGAACTGCAAGGTAAGCAGTTCAAAACTACCAGCTGCTCCGCAGGAGAAAGATGAGGTTTTCTGCTCCTGTAAAGATTTATAGCCTTGGAAACCCTGTACAGGATTGCTATGCATCGGAACCAACTCCACAGCACATAACAACAACAACAATTTGTCCAAGGAAGCCAGAGAGGGGAGATCAGAAAGGCCCTTTACCTCCTGGCTCCATGCATACCTGCTGCGTGGGCAATGCCCAATTCTGTGTCCCGCTCCTGATGCCTGTTGAAGGTCAGAGAGCTGAGGGTTGCGAGGTCAGAGGAGGGCTCCAGGGGTCCACGTGGCCTCCTCGGGATAGCCCCAGAGCTGGGTGTCTGTGGAGTTTGCTCTGACCTCTGCAAGAGGGAAAATGTGAGTTAGGGAGTCACTTCTCTCCAGAGCCATCAAAGGGTCTTTTGCTCACAGACCAGCCCCTACAGAGCTTCACCATGCCTGGAAGCACAGGGTCCAAGGGAGCCCTTGCCTCAGCCTTGTCATTGCCAGACCCTGTCCACTGGTGACTTTGCACCTGCTTCATAGAAAACACACACATACCATCTATGGGGACTCCCTGGCCTTTTGTCTGGCCCTACAGAAAGGTCCCCCTCCCTCTCTGTGGCCCCTGCTTAGACCTCTTTCCTGGGATTCTGTTCCAGATTTGGTGTTTCCTAGACACCCCACTGGCCACTTATCACATCTGAATCGAATCAGTCATCTCCCCAGTGTGACTATGCTGTCAGTCAGAACATGTCCATCATCCACCTCCTGTTTCTCAGCCTCCTCATCTGGTCATTCCCCAAGTCTCTGAACCCAGCTCCACACCTCGTATGGACCACTGCAAAGACTCAACACTTTGACCTTCACAACAGCTGGTTGAGAGCTGCCACAGGACGAAGGTTTCATCAGGGGCCTGGAAGCTGGGCTGGGCAGCTCCACAGTGGGAAGCTTTAGGCTTTATGAGCAGAGATTAGGCATGGCTTATGGAAGGAGGGAGGACTTCTTAAAGGCTACATAGGAAGAAGTGGCATTTGGGAATAAGAGAGAGCGGGCGGTCCAAAGCAAATGGTAAGAACCCACCTCCCTGGGGGACTCCTGGACAGGCATGAGGTAACTTGGTTCGTCCTCTCTGTAGCCATTGTGGGAGGTACTGGGGGTCACTGGAACCTTAGCACTGGGTCCTGGAACCTCAGCAGGGACTGACAGTGGCTCCAGTTGGGCTGGGGGATGATTGAGGGTCCCTGGAAGACAAAGATACAGCAATGTCAGAATCAGGGGTATGCCTAGTCCCCAGGTCTGTGGGATCTGCCCTCCACATCTGAAGAAGTTATCCTGAGAAGGTGACAAGTATCGCTGAAGGTGAGGGAAGGTTTGAGGTGGGTAGTGAGGTCATGAGGAATTGTGGAAGGCAAGAAGATCTAGGAGTAAGTGGGGAGCCTCTCAGGTGTCTGAATTCCCAGACTGGTCAGCAGATGGCCACTCTCTTCTTTCCTCAGGCATTTTCCTCCTCCTCACGGCTGCCACCAATAACTGACCCACCCTGAATGCTGCCTTCTCAGACCCTCTCCATTGCCCCACTACGTCCCCTAACATTGGGGAATGTCATTATAAATTTACATGAAAGAAAGGAAAGAGGAAGAAAAGGAGGCAGTAAAAAATGGAAATGTTTCAAGGCTGCAAATCTGACCAGGGTCTCACAGAGGTTGCCTGGGAGGGGTTGCCTCAGGCTGACTTGATTCACTGTTTGTCCTGAGACAGACACAGCTTCTTTTCTCCCAGTCTCAAGCCTCAGACCCCCACCTCATCATGCCCTCTGGGCACTTGGACCGGAAGTGGGCATTGAAAGGGAGTCAAGGGGTAAGTGGCATGTTGGAGGGTAGGACTAGAAGGCTCTAGAGGAAACAAGGGAGGTGGGGAGAAAAGAGGAGAGAGGAAGGATGGAACCCATAAGGAAGAAAGAGAAGGAAATGAAATTAGTAGAGAGGAGAGTGAACCAGGAAAGAAGAGACAGGAGGAAATGAGAAAAGGTAGGAAACGAATGTTAGAAGAAGCCCCACTAGCAGAGCACATCAAGGGCACCAAGCCTCAACATGACATTGTCTGCTGGTATCTACCGCAGCCTACAGGCCAAGCATACTCAATAGCCCTATTTATATATGAAGAGACTATAAGGCTCAAGGATATTAAGGGATTTAGCTAAGGGACACAGCTAGTAAGTGGCTCATTAGGGATCCCTACCTAGGTTTGGATTATATATTGCCCAAGAGCAAGGGGAGGTAGTGTAACAGAGAAAGGAAAGAGACACGGGGCAATGGGAGGGAAGGGGGCATCAAGGAAGGCAGGACTGGGATTCAGGAGAAGGTCTAGGGCAGAAAGCTCACGAGGCAGGTAGCTCCTATAGACACTGGCCACTTCTTCAGCGAGTTTAGTCAGTTCACAGGACCTCAGTGCCTCGATGAGGAAATCCACCCAGTTGCTTCTCCTCTTCAGGAAGTTGAAGAGATACCAGAGAGTGTTCCGGTTCCCTCTCTGCGAGTAGATGGCCTGGAGGTGATCCTGAAAGACAGGTCCACAGCCCTGTTCATTCCAGGGTGCCCCCCACACCTGCTCCTTCCCCATGTGGGAGGGGCAGCTGCAAAATGGGACATGGAGAAAGCTACAAGATAGGGGTTGTGTCAGAGCCCAGAGTAAGGCCAGGATTCAAGCCAAAATATGGGGTGAGGCAGAAAACAGAAATAGTAGCAACAGCTACAAACTAACTAGTAATATGGAATACCCACTGCCATCAAGTGGATTCCAACTTGTACCTATCCTATATAAGGATTTTGAGACTATAAATTTTTACAAAATCAGACAGCCTCATATATTTCCAGAGCAGCTGCTAGCTGGTAGGTTTGACCACTGAACTTGTGGATGGCAGCCCAATGCCTAACTCATAGAGCCACCAGGGGTTCTGATAATAGAGAATTGTTGTTGTTAACTACCATGGAGTTGGTTCTGACTCATAGTGACCCTGCACAGGGTTTTCGAGGCTGTAAATCTTTACGGGAGCCGAAAGCCTCATCTTTCTCTTGCGAAACGGCTGGTAGTTTTGAACTGCCGACCTTGAGGTTAGCAGCCCAATTAGTAACCACTATGCTACCAAAGTTCCTTGGTAATAAAGAATAGGCTCTGATAATGTCCCAGGCTTGCTGTTAAATGTTTTACATAAATCATTTCATTTTGTGCTATTATTTCTATCCTTTGTCTGTTAGTTTGTTGTATTGTGGTGGCCTGTGTGTTTCCGTGATGCTGGAAGCTATGTCACTGGTACTTCAAATACCAACAGGGTAACCCATAATGGACAGGTATGAGTAGAGCATCCAGACTATGACAGACTGGGAAGAGGAAGAGGGGGACCACTTCTGAAAAGTTGGCCATTGAAAACCTTATGAATAGAAGCAGAACATTGTCTGATATAGTGCTGGAAGATGAATCCCTCAGGTTGCAAGGTACTCAAAACACGACTGGGGAAGAACTGCCTCTTCAAAGTAGAGTTGACCTTCAGGATATCAATGAAACAAAGCTTTTGGGACCTTCATTTGCTGATGGAGCACAACTAAAAATGAGAAGAAATATTTGCTAATAATCAGAATGGGGAATATACAAAGTCAGAATCTAGGAAAACTGGAGTCATCAAAAAAGAAACACATAAAGATTGACATCCTAGGCATTAGTGAGTTGAAATGGACTGGTACTGGCCATTTTAATTGGACAATCATATGGTTTATTATGCTGAGAATGACAAATTGAAGGGCAATGGTATCTCATTTATTACCAAAAAGAGCATTTCAAGATCTATATTGATGCACAATGCTGTCTGTGATAGGATAATATCCATATGCATAAAAGAAAGACCATGAAAAATAAACTATGTTTCAAAATTATGCACTAACCACTAAAACTATTGATGAAGAAATTGAAGAATTATACCAACTTCTTCACACTGAAATTGATCAGACATACAATCAGCATGCATTGAGAATTACTGGTGTTTGGAATGTAAAAGTTGAAAATAAGAAGTAAGGATCATAGTTGGAAAATATGGTCTTGGTGACACAGACAATGCTGGAGATCACATGGTAGAATTTTGCAAGACCATCAACTTAATTACTGCAAATACGGTTTTCAACAATATAAACAGATGGACTACATACATAGACCTTGCCAGATGGAACACACAGGAATCAAATAGACTATATCTGTGGCGGGAAATGGAGTTCTACATCAGCAACCAGAACAAGGCCAGGGGCAGACTGTGAAACAAACCATCAATTGCTCATATTCAACTTTAAGCTGAAACAGAAGAAAATGAAAACAAGTCTACAAGAGCCAAATACAACCTACAGCATATCCCACTTGAATTTAAAGACCATTTCAGGAATAGATTTGATGAAACAGACACTAATGACCAGAATAGTTATGGGGTGACATCAAGAACATTATACATGAAGAAAGCAAAAGGTCATTAAAAAGACAGAAAAGGACTTCCAACAAGGTGGCAGACTAGGCAGATGCATTACACAGACCCTCAACAACAGAGATACAAGAGACCAAATGAACCAGACACTGATAAAATTTCTGAAATCCTGCACTTCAGTGGAAATGTTAGAGAAATTGAGTACTTGCTGGGAGTAGAAGCTGAGCAGGAGACAGACTGGTGGATGACTGACCATATGAGGTACAACCATCTTATGAGCAACTTTGGCAACAAAAGGTGGCTTGGCAGAGTAGATTCACACACACAACTGGAAAGGTGAGATTCCTGCTTTTCCCCTATGCTTCCCTGGCGACCACCTCCTACCCTCATCCACGCTCAGTGTAGACCCTGTTCTCCAGGAGTTCAGAGCCATGTGATTGGGAGCCACAACAGTATTAGGCGGAGGCCAGCTGTGCCACTTTAGTGCCCTGCTTTGGTGCTTGGTAGGCTTGGTTCCAGACCTATAGAACCCGCAGAGCCATCAGACCAGCATTTAACCAGTCACCCTGCCCTCAGCTGCCCTGTGGTCCTAGGAGACACTGAAACCAACTCCATCAAGGGCCTCCACTAATTTCCTGACTGAATACCCTTAACATGTTGTTGTTGTTAAGTGCTATAGAGTCGGTTCCAACCCACAGCAACCCTTATAGGGTTTCCGAGGAGTGATTGGTGAGCTTGAACCACTGACCTTGCAATTCAAACCGACTTTGCAGTCCAGCACATTAACCCACAATGCCACACCAGGACTCCACCCTTAACTGCACCTAGGACCAGGTACTTGACTATCACATCTCTCCCACATACACCTAGTGAGCTCCTTGGTTGCTGAAGAATCCCAGCATTTCCTCTCTCCAGGTCCAACAGTTAAATTTTCTTAAATTTGATTTTTCCCTTTTCTTGTTTCATTGTTTTTGTTCATTCTTTCTCCACCTTCTTCTCTTTCCATTCCCTTGAATCTTTATCCTTTCTATAACTGCTGTTGTTTTTCCTTTTTTTCTTCTGTTTCTCATTTCCCCTCTTCTTTTTCTTCCCTTTACTACTCTCTCATTTCATTTTCCTTTTTTCTAAGTGTTCCCTTCCCCTTGATTTCCTCTCTTATTTTTATCTTCTATAGTTCCATTTTTCTGTCCCTCTTCTATTTTTTACTTATTCTTAAGTGTTGTTGTTTTGTTATGTTTTTAATTTCGTCCTTTTAATTTTCTCATTTTTCTTTTCTAGAGATCCATTTTCCTGCCCTTCTTTTGTCTTTGGAGTACTGGGGTGGTGCTGTGACATAAAGTACTGTACCACAAGGTTGATTTGAACCACAAGATTGGCAGTTCAAACTCAACACTTTCTCCTTGGAAACCCTATGAGTCAGAACTGCTATGAGTCGGAACCAACTCAACAGCACTTTACAACAAGTGTTTTTGTTTTTAAATTTCTTCCTTTTCTTTCATCTCTTGTTTTTATTTTCTATAGCTCCATTTCAAAGTCCTTCTTTTGTCTTTGGAGTCCTGGTGTGGGGCTGTAGGATAAGCATTAAACTGCTAAGCACAAGGTCAGGGGTTCAAACCCACCAGCCACTCCTTGAAAACCCTATACAGGGTTGCTATGAATCAGAACTGGATGGCATTTAACAACAACAACAACATATTTTGTCTTTATAGTTATTGTATTCTTTTTTCCTTGTTGCTGCCTGTTTTTATTTCTCTTTTATCTTTATTATTTTCTCTTCTCATTGTTGGCTCCTTATTTGTTGATTCACTTTTGCTTCCTTGTATGTGTGGGTAGGGAAGGGTTTTCTCTTTCCCATGCAACAGAAGACAGCAACCATGTCATACCACCAAGCTACAACCATACCTTCTGTAGCTCCACCACTGGGAAAAGAGCCATGCCAGATCCTATACCATCTGATCAATGATAAACAGCATGCAACCAGCCAAATCCATCCTAAACTGAGGTGTGTGAACAGCGAACAAGAACAGTGTACATACTTCCATTTGCTAACCATATCCAAAGGAGACAGTTGGTTAGAGCCTAAGAACACATCAACATTATAATTATCAATTAAATACAAATAGGACAACCCCATGAGGCCATGGAGACAACCAACAATTTTAGCTCACACAAAGAAACAAGAGAGAATGGCTGAAACAAATGACCTAGCTGCAGAGCCAGAAAACATTTCTGAGAAAGAAAGATTAATGGAACTAAAACAAGATGGTGGATCAGGTAGAAATGCAATGAGGATTTCTGTCAGCAATAACAGAATACTGGATGAAGCAGGTTCAAGGGATGGTCCCAGAACTCTAAACCACATATAAAGGAATATTGA